ATAGGCAATTTGCTGCTGGACTAATGGCTCATAAATCGATTGATAAATCATCTAAAAAACATAAAAAGGATAAGCACACTATTGAGAAAAAAAAGAAAGAGAAAAAATCTAAAAGGTCAAAGGACGTAGAAGCGGAAACTTGTACGGAGGGCAAGCGTTTAAAAAAAAGTAAAACAAGTTCTGACTTTTCTTCCGCTGAAGACGAAGAGGGCGTTATAAATAACGAAGATCCTTCTTCTTTTAATAATTATTGTTTGTCACCAAGCACTATAAGAAATTTAGAGAAAAAGGGCATTAAAACTTTATTTCCGATTCAACAATGTTGTTTTAACCATATTTACGAAGGAAAAGATCTTGTAGGACGGGCAAGTATAACTTTTTTGTGGCTCCTTAGTTATATGTAAAGTTTTCCGTTTATACAAGGAACTGGAACAGGGAAGACTCTCGCCTTTTCACTTCCTATTATTGAACGTTTAGAACCTTCACACGAATATGGTAGGAAAGCACGTGTTTTGGTTTTAACTCCAACTAGAGAGTTAGCTAAACAGGTTTTGATTTATTATTTTTTTAATTTCTTAATATATAGTTAAATATAAAAAAATCTAGGTTGCGGAAGATTTTATTTCAATAGGAACTTTTTTAAAGACGCTGTGCATTTATGGAGGTGTCCCATATGAGCCTCAAGGTTACTAAGACTATCTAAATTTTTTATTTATTAATTCTAAGTTTAATGCGTTAAAAATAAAAAGAAACTGCCTTGAGGAAAGGAGTTGACGTCGTTGTTGGTACACCCGGTCGCATTTTAGATCACATTGAGAGAAAGACTTTAATTTTAGAGTAGCATTATATTTAGTTATTCCTTTCTTTATGCTATAATGAATATAAAAGTAATCTTAAGTTTATTTGTCTTGATGAAGCCGATCAAATGCTTGACATTGGATTTAAAGATTCTATGGAAGCGATACTGAAAGTTGCGGCTCCTTATGGGAATAAAGAAGTTAAATATTATATAAAATAATTTAATCTAACTCATTTGTCGTTTATTTAGAAAACTTATCAAATGCTTTTATTTTCAGCAACTCTTCCTACTTGGGTCCACAAGACAACTCAAAAATACATGAATATAGATAAAGTAACTGTTGATCTAGTAAAAGACGAAGTGCAGAAAACAAGTACTCTTATTGAGCACGTTGCTATTCGGTGCCCTTATTACGCTAGGGAAAAGGCCATTCGGTAGCATTTATTAATTTTTTCTGTAATTTTATTATTTTATATAATAAAAAGGGACGTAATTATGGTTTATTCTGGGAAAAAGGGACGGACGATTATTTTTGTTTCTACTAAAAGAGAAGCCAATCAGTTAAACTCCAGCTCTGTTTTGAATCAGGAGTGTCAACCCCTTCACGGTACTCCCCTCTTTTATTTTCTAATATATTTTTATATAATCTTTTCATTTTTTAGGCGATATCCCGCAGGCACAACGAGAGGCGACCATGAAGGGCTTTCGAGATGGGCAGTTTCGAGTCCTCATAGCGACTGACGTTGCTGCGCGGGGGCTCGACATTGCCAACGTGGACGTCGTTATTAACTGCGAGCCCCCGAAGGACAGCGACACTTACGTGCACCGCTCCGGTCGCACCGGAAGAGCAGGTTCATAGAAAGCGCTTCTCTTGATATTATTCATATACTATTATTTTTGAAGGGCAACGCGGGCTTTGCGTGACTTTTTATAAATCCAACCAAGAAGGGGCTATAAAACTCATCGAAAAGCAAACTGGTTTTTTAAAATACTTTTTTTAGTAATATAATGTTATATATTATTATTATTTATTTGTTTATGAAAGGCACTATTCTAAAACGCATTAGTGCACCGCAACCGGCGGATTTGATGAAAGCCATATCGAACGAAACTAAAAAAGCACTTGAAAGTGTTTCGGAAAGGTTTTTTTTATAATGAGTCGTGTTATGTAACAGTGGTTTTTTTATTTTTCTTACTTGCTGTAATAAAAAGTACTTTTTTATTGTTTTATTTCTTTATAATTACATTTTTTTTTATTTAATACTTTTTTTAAAAGGTAAGATATTTTTAATTTTTTTCCTAGTATTATCCCTCACTTTGAGGAGACTGCAAGAGAACTGATTGATACGTATGGGCCTTTGAAATCTTTAGCCTCGGCTCTTGCTGTTATCTCGGGCTACACGGAATTAAAGGTAATAATAAGTTATTTTACTAATTTTTATTTAATTTTTAATCTAATTAAATACTTTAATTTATATAGTTTTGTATTTATAAATAATTTAGTAATTATATCGTAAAGTATTGATTACGCTATTAATTTTAATCATTGGAATTTTTAAATAGAATCGTTCGCTACTAAACGCAGCTGAAGGCTTTATTACCTATATAATGACGTGCAGCAGAGAGTTTCGCACTTTGGGCTACATTCGCACGATTTTAGAAAGAAATGTATATTTAAGTGTTTTATTTTGGTATATAAATTAAATTTATTCAATTATTTATTTAAATCATACGCAGATTGATCCTACTTTAAAAAACGAAGCAAAAGGAATGAAAATGAGTGTAGATCACAAATCTGCCGTTTTCGATGTTCCTGAAAATATTCATAAGTTAATACAAGAAATTTGGTGCGACACAGCCGGTAAATTGTTTATATAAAATTCTTTGGAAGTTTCTTATTATGCATTTTAAGGAAGTATAATTATTTTTTATCTGTATTAGATTGTACTCTCAAAGTTGCAGCTACACTTCCAGAACTGATTTATCAAGAATCTAATTTCGAGAATGGGAATGGCTGCACCAAAAATTACACACCATGGCGTCGTATTAATGGCCAAAAAAGTTATTAATTATTTTATTTCCAAATATAATAAAAAAACTACTAACATTTTTTTTTTAGAATCGGGGGGGAATAATTATTTTAAAAAAGGGAAAACATTTTCAAGAGATCCCTCAAGGAGGGGATTCCAACGGAGTTAATTTCTTTATTAAATAAACTTGGTTAGTATGAATGAAAAAGTCATTATTTTTTTCTGAAACATTCTAGCTATTTTAAAAGTAAATTGTAGCGCTTCCAGCGGAGTTTTGTACAGGGATTGGCTTGTCAAAGTTATAAGTAGTTACTGAGTTATTCTCTTTATGATTATAGTGGAAGAGTATTTATTATTAGTAGATTTCCCCGTACTTACATTAATTGCTTTTACCGAACTTGGAAGTTTATAGTTATCTACCTTAGAAAGATTTTTCAATATTATTGTATATTGTCGTTGTTTTTTTTTTAGTAATCAATTTTTAGAACAAGAAAATTTATATAATTGAATATAGAGAATAGTTCTAAGTATACTCTCATCTAGATTCTTTTTTGATTGATAGCCTTCCTTTTATTGGAAACTTAGTCGCACATTTATAATAAAAATCCGCACACAATGTATTTTTAAAAAGTACTTTTTAAACTTTTAAACAATCGTTTTAAACTTAATAACTTACTAATTGAAATTTATAAAGTGTTCTAATCGACTTTTGGTTTTATTTTTGCGTATAATACCTAATGCTAGTTCTTTTTTTCATTTCTTCTCTAAGTTTCTAGTTATATTGATTCCGAAGTATTAAAGGTGCCACCACCGCTATACTAACAGTACGTTCAGTTTCCATTTGGAACAGAAATTGAATCATCTACCTTATTAGAAATTTAGGCAGTAATCTTTTAGTAATATAATATTATTAGCTGTCTTTGTACGTCATTTAACCAAAGAAAGTTAAAGATAACCTGGAATTGTGTTATCTATCTCTGTCATATAATCATATTTAATAGGTTAGAAGGCGACTGGAGATACTGTAATACTCCTCTACCTGTTTTAAAGTTTCTTACTTGTGTTAGGACGCGATAACATAAACGGTTTTTTTAGCTATTATGACTGTTATTGAAACTTGATTAAGAGGGCCCGTTATTACTTGATACTTGGATTTAAGTGTTTCTCTTCTTCAGATCCCTTTTTTTTAATAATTTGACAACGTGCGCGGTAAGCTTGCAACGCAAGCTCACCACAAAAAACGAAAGGGTTGCTAGATATAAAAAAAAAGGTTGTTTTTTACCACTCTAAGTAGATCCCAACTTATACCTTAATATTTTTTATAGTTTTATAGACAAAATAACTTTACATTTTTACAGATAAAACTACCTTAGTTTTATTCTTATCGTTATATATCAAAATTCTGCGTACAAAATTTTTTAGACAAACCTTTACAATATACAAGTAATAGTAAGCTCCTAGGCGGGTGTATAACCTCCAGATACTAAAAAAGTGATAATATAATTTTAATCTAGCAAGGTCGTAATTTAGTATATAAGGTAGCCAGAGAGGTAAAAAATAGTTTTTTCTCATTACTAACATTGTCTCACAATGGTCGGTGTAAGCTGTTAGGCAGTGCCCCTGAGCTAACCGAATTAACAAGTAAATACCGCGTGAAAATATGATCCTACTAAAGTCAAAGTTTAGTTAAGGGTTTTTCGTATTGCCTTTTGCGCTGTACTCGGTTTTACTTTGGGCGCAGCTAATTAGAATTTATGAGGGCGAGTTTAAATTAGGCAACCATCAAAGACAGTCGCCTCGAAGGGATCGAATCCCCGGATTCAAGTATGCGCGTCAGTGCTCTTCACTGCTGAGCTACCGCGACGGCATGAGGCTTTACTTATTTACATTGTTACAAGCAGGCACCCGTATATCCCTGGAAGGAGTATCTTAACTTGCCCCAGGAGGTTTTAGGTGTAACAAAGGTGTATTAGACTTAGTCACTCAAATTAGAGTAATGGTAATCCGCTAAAAAACACCACCGAGGGTGGAGGGCCCCTTGTACTTGTATTTAAGGTTTTCTTAAAACAATGACCTCTCATTACTGCTAATCAGGCCTCTTTAATCAAAGGATCCAGCTATGTACCCTTTGTATATATGTATATTGGTATAAGTACTAATTAGTCCCCAATCAGAGAAGAAAAGGTATCAAATTTGCTCCTTGGTAGTTGCTTTCTTTTGCGTGCAACCCCCCATTTTTTCTTGTTAATCAGTGCTGTCGTTTGTAGGGCAAGAACTGAGAAGAAACAAAATGGTTTGTGTAGAAGGTAGTATAAAAACTACAAAGAAGAAAAGGAGAAGAACACTCAGGATTTTATTTAATCGATGTAAATATGTACTGAGAAAATATGGTTAAAAATAAATGCTGTAATATTAAAATTTTTATTTAACTTATTTACATATATAGATATTTTTAGTGGTTTTATTAATTCATCAGCTATAAATTGAGAAATACTTTTCCAAAATGATGCTTCTATAAAAGCGATACTTTTAACTTGAAAAAGCCATTTGTGGATACACTTTATGTTTGTAGCCAATTAACTTTTTGCTTTTTTCGAAATTGATTGTTGGTATTATGGTGTCAGTTTTAATTTTCTTTGTAATATTTGTATTTGAAGTTAAAATGTTTATTTCCTAAGGATGCTAATCGTGAATAGTGGCTCCAAGTGGAGTAAAATAAATTACTCTACGTAAGAACCAGTCTATCAATTTATATTATATATTCCATAGCACTATAATGTATAGCTAAAAATATTTTTAGTGCTTTACATGTAAGAACTTTAAGTTTTTGTTTATAGTTGGGGAGCATAATCATGAATGGTCAACAAAAAATAAGAAAGATCTTAAAACTCTCTTTTTGCATGTGATCTTAATTATTGGGACTAAATTATAACCGGCGGTTAGTCCTAGGCAAACCAGAACTAGCCGTGTAAAAAGCTGATATATCGAGTTTAAAATAAATTGAGACTACAAAACTTTACAAAAAATTTGTTAAGTAAAATCTACTTAAAATGGCTTATTTTAAAAACAACTTTGGCAAAATTTTATTATTACACTGCTAGTCACAATTGTATGGAGTCAATCTCAGCGTCTATAATTTGCAAAGTGGTTACTTAGTTTACTGAAGGCATTAACTATTTGCCTATAAAATCCTAGTGGGTGTTTTTAATGCTACTTTAGGGTAATAGCTAGAGATATTTTTTTCCTTAAAGAATGGAGGTTGTTAGTATAGAAAATAATTGTAAGTCTATTTCATATTTATCATTAAAAGAAACTAGAGCACATGCGTCACCGGTATGCGAAATTCTAGAAGTTTAAGGTTGTCAAGTAATAATTTTATTTTTATAAAAACAAATAATATATCAAGTATATTACTCTAAACATTCTTTCCCTCCTGATAAAGCTACTTTATAGGTAAAAATCAATTTAAGTTCCTATGGGCCAAAACCAGGAAATAAAAATAGAAAGTAAAAAGTAAATGAGGGTTAATACATTCGTATAACAAGTAATTTTCTGTTATTTAATTGTTGGTATACTAGCATGCCTAATATTAGTCTTGTGATGAAGTCTATGAATTGTTTACCAATAGTCAGAAAAAAACCATGCTGAAACCATCAGAGTTGTTAACAATATATATAATTTTATAAAATTGAGTTTAAGATCAACTACTCATTTATACCGCTGACGTAATTACTGTCCTGTACTAGTAACAACTACTTTTATTGTTGGTTTAAACTCAAGTAATATTAATATGCTATATGGGCATAAGTAATGGTGATGACTTACCCAACAAGTCTCTCCCCCTGTGAAACAGTTTAGTGTAACAAGGAGCGGATAAAATCACGTGTCAAAATTGCATCGAGTAAATATTGTTCTTAGTTTTTATCTTGCTTGTGTTGTTTTTTATAGAATGCAGCGTACAATTTATACTCAAGAGTGCATGGAAGGTCTGCTTCAAGACCTTCTTGATCCATCTAGGATGACCTCCGTATGATATAATAAAATTTTCTTATTTTTCTTCTTTGAATTTAGTATTATTTAGGCCACAAAAACTTTAAAAGCCGTTTTAAAAAATCCAGAGCATTTGATTCTGGTTGCTAACTGCCTTGAATCCTCACCTCACCAAAGTGTTCGCCAAATGGCCTGCTCTGTATTGAGGGAGCGTTTAAAGTCCCTGTGGCCTAAGCTTAACTCAGACCTTCGACAGAAACTAAAAACTTTTATGTTACCTACGATTCTTAAGGAGCCAGTGTACTTATAAATAGACGTATAAGTACAGCCTTTTTTATAATTACTTGTAAACTTATACAGAGCAGCAGTAAGATCAAGTATTTCCTCTCTTATTTCCTTGATAGTAAAACATGAACTTCCTAGGAATAGTTGGCCAGAATTTATTAACTGGGTAGATCTTATTGTGCAATCTTCTAACGTAGCACACCGGGAAATTGGTCTGATGCTTCTCAGCAGTCTTTGTGAATATATGCCTAAACTTCTTCGCCCTCTGTACTCCAGTTTGTTTTCCCTCTTTAGCCGTTGTTTTGAGGAAAAGGAATCCTTATTGATCCCGTTTTATGCTATAGAGTATGCGCTAATTAAAGTTATTTTTCTTTTTTACGGATTTTAAATTATACTTATAGAGCAATTACTTTTATTCTTCCTGAGCTCGAATCTACTGAATATAATTACTTCGAAACTATTATTATTCCAGTTGTTACTACAGTTAAGCGTCTTATAGTAAATGATGAAGATCAAGCCCTCAAAGCATTTGATTTCTTCGATAGCTTATTTGATTCTGAGGTTGCTCTTGAAGCGGGTATAGTGTCATTCTTATTATAATCATTCTTTTATTTTATTTTGGTTCCTATTAGTTAACATTGTTCCATTGGTTCATTTTTTTCTCGAAGTGGCCTCCGAAAAATCTTATTCCATTGAAATTCGCATCTCTTCTTTGGCTCATATAGTTTATGTATTTTAATATATTTATTTCAACATCTCCCTTATTATATTAACTTTACTTTTTTATGTATATATTTTTTTGGAATGTGTTACCTTACAGCTAGTAAATAACTGCAAGAAGTACATTTTAAAGCATAAATTGGTCGAACCCATTCTCTCCATAGTTTTTCCGTTACTCGCGGAACCATACGACTTTGATGACGAGGAGATGTGCCCTTCTGAGTACGCAGCTGAATTGCTTGATTCTCTTGCGGTTAATTTTGGTTAGTTACTACTTATAATGTTGTAATTAGTTATAATTTTTCCTAAAGATTCGTTACTTTCGTTTTGCTACGATCTTATGATGACATATTTCTTTTTCAGCTCCTTCACTTGTAGCCACGCCCACTTTACATATGGTGAGTACTTTTTCTTCTTCTCCCGTCCCTGAAAACCGTTTAGCTGCTCAGCTTGCTTTAAGTTCTATTGTTGAAGGTTTAAAAAAAAATTTCTATATTATAACTTTTGAAATAACTTTGAGTTACTTCATATTTTCTATATAAAGGCTGCTCGGATCATTTGAGAACTCAACTGGATAGTTTACTTCCTTTTGTTAGCTTAGGCCTTAAAGATACTGAAAAAAAGAACAGAAAAACTTCTTGTATGACTATAATAAAGTTTGCGAGGCACCTTCAGCCTGAAATTAGCAAGTATCACGCGGATATCCTCCCTCAAATTCTTTTGCTTTTAAATTCCTCTACTGACGATCTTAAAGAAAAAGTTAATTTTTTTTACTTTGACTTTAGGAGTTTATTCATTTGATTCTTTGGAAAGGCTTGCATTGCACTGGAAAGTTTTTGTTTAAATCTAAAAGATGAGTTAAAGTTATACTTGCCGACTATAATGAGTAGACTACAAGAATTACTGCATCAGTCTCCCCGAACGCTTCGCGAGGCGGTTCTTTACGCAATTGGGTCTGCAGCGACTGCTGCCAAGGAGGTTTATATATAATTTTTTAAATTTGGCGGGGAGGAGGGGGGGGAGGTTCATTTTTTGGGTCTTTAATTTTATTGTAGGATTTCCAACCTTTTTTCCCGCCAATTTACAACGATCTTTTATGCTTGATGCGGGATACCGAAGAAGAAAATATAACGCTAAGAGCGAATGCTACCGATGCACTGGGTTTACTATCTTTCCTTATATACACAACTTATTCTCAACATTTATAAAAACTCTTTATTCTTTTGCATTTTTTTTTCGTTTCACTACAAAATTGTTATATAATTAGCCTCTTTGAATGTTGGAACTTATAATTCATTTAATATATTTTTGAATTTTTCGTTTTCCTTACTTTTATTATGACTTTTAAGGGGCCATTATTAGCGCTCTGGGGAAAAACAATGTCAATCAGTTTATTGGAGAAATATTACCATTAGCCAATGAAAACTTATTGATAAATGTAATAGCTATTATAACCATTCCTCATTATATTTATAATTTATTAATTTTAGGATCCTGAAATTGACCAATGTACACTGGGGCTCTTCGGTTCTCTCAGCGCAGTATACCAAGAAGACTTTGCACCGCAGCTTCCTTCAGTTCTTTCCCACATTTCACGGTAATTAATAATAATAATAATATTATTATTATTAATTATTATCCTTATACAGAGTTTTGCACTCCGATGGCGATGTGCAAGTGGAAGAGCCAGAAGACAGCATTAACCTGAACAGTAGCGCTTCTGAAGAAGACGTCGAGACTTGGGAAGATGCCGGTTGGCAAAAGATTTTTTAATTTTATATATATTTATAATATCAGTTCTGTTATACATAGAACAAGTTTTTTACTTGCAGGCACCCGCTGTCTTCTTTAATAGAGAATTATTATATTGATCTTTTATAAACTTTCTCTTACTTATAAAACTTTTTTTTTTACTTGAAGACAATCCGCTGTTGTCTCTCAATAAGGACTTATACTTTGCGAAGGAAACAGCCCTCAATGTTCTTAGCGCTTTTGCTCAGTATCTTCCTCGCTCTTATGCTCCTTATCTCCACTCAACTTTAGACACTATTTTGGTTCTTTATTTCAATATAATCTTAATGTCATATCTAACTGGACCCCTTTATTTTTATTAGGATTTTACCGGGTTTTCATATTGCGTTGACGTTCAAAAAGCCGCTTTTTCTACGCTTTGTCAATATCTGGTACTGTATACATATAAACTTCAACCACATAGAAACATCACAATATTTTGACACCACTTAGGAGTGTCTATGCGTTGTACATTTTGGAGAAGAGCCGCCCATGCACACGTGGGTTGCTGGACTCCCGCTTTCTGGGGCGCTTCCTGAAGATCTTCGGCAACTTTGCTATAAAGTAATGGACAAAATTATTCCCGCGCTTTCTTCTTCAAAAGACATCCAGTTTGTGGCTGGTTTGTTTATATTTATCTATTTCCTTTCATCATTAGGTAAATCCTATTTGTTAATAACTTATTTAGCGCCTACTTTATCACTTTCTTTAAATGAAACATTTTACCTATAAAAAACGTTACAACACCTACAATTATTAACTTGTGCTCTTTATATTACCATATATATGCGAAAATAATAGCAATAATAATAATTTACATAGCTCTTCTCGACTGCTTAGCGGATCCTTTGAGGGCTGTGGGTCCCGGTCTTTTAGAGCATCACCTTGACACGTGGCTTCACTTCTTATTGAGCGTCATACGCGGAAAGGCCCCTTGTCAAGGCTCGTCCGACTATCCATTATTGTTATTATATCTTTTATTACTTATAGTATTGGTTGACTTAAGAATTATTATATTATGGCTTCAGTTCAGCAAATTGACTATTATAATTTTTATAAAAACTATATACTATTTACTTATATATTATAAATACTATTTTTTAACTTCTTTTATGAATAATATTTTATTTGTTATAAACGAATTCTTACAAGTTGAGTTACTATATATGCTTATTTGTAACATTAAATTTTTGGTATAAATAAAAGAATTACAATTTGAAAACTATTTACATAGTAATTTTCTTTTTAAACTTATTATTTACTATCGTACTTATTTTTTATAGTTTTATTATTACATCAAAATTTTAAAGTTTTTTAATATAAAATTCAGATTATTGTCTTTTTTGTATTAATATAATTTATTTTTTTTATGAATTTTTCTTCTCTATAGCATTTTTTATTGATACATAAAATTTTGGGGTTTGTATATGTTATTATTATATATTTTTTGTTTATAATTGTTATTGCAGATACGACGGTGTTTGTGTATTTTTATTAATATTTGTATTTATTGTTATTATTACAGATATCGAACTTGATGGTGAATATGAAAATAAACTTTCCATTGGAGAGTTTGATTCTTTTTTAATAGAAAATGCTTGCGAGTTAATTTCTGGAAGTGCTCAAGTCCTTGGTTTTACTTAAACCGTTTTTTTTATACTCTATTACTTAAATATGATTTTTTGGTTATTTTATTCTTCGTAGTAAGTAATATTTATTAACTTTTTTTTGATTTTTTGCTGCTTATTAAAATTGTAAGAAGTAATAGTTTATAATAGTTTATTTTTTCAATAAAATATATTATTACCATCATTTTTTTCGTTTATTTTTTTTTTATTTATTATACTTTATGTCATCCCGTTTTTTTTATATATATTTTTTCCATTATTCCTTCTATATACTCATAATATATAATGAAATTATATGTATATATATTAGTAATAATAAAATATTTCACTTGTAGGGTCATCCTTTTCCACGTACCTACCGCCTTTTAAAGAGGCACTATTCAAATTTTGCACCGAAAACTCTTCTACTGCAGAGCTATCAACGGCTATAGCAACATTAGCTGAAATCACTTTCGGTTTAGTAATAAATATTATTTTTATTATCATTTTATAAAACTACACACATTTTTAAGCGCAAATTATTTTATTTTGGATTTTGATAGTAATTTTGTACTGTATGTTATATAATTATTTTTTTAATTATCTATTAATGAATTTTACATTATAATTTATTACTTGCTTTGGAAAGTCTTGTCTTGATGTTTAATTTATGTATTAATTATTATTGTATACTTTATAAATATATATAATTATTACTTATTTGTAATATAATTATATACTTATTAATATATAGTACAGAAAAATATTAAATTTATTATTTACTGTATGACTTTTAATTAGTTTATAATAATATTTGTTTTGCTCTGGAATATTATTGTTAGTTTATAATATCTACTCCTAATATATTATGTAAACTGAATTTTTTCCCGAATTTTATATATTATTCGCATATTATTTACTTTTAGTGTTTGATAATTATACTTTTATTTTTATTAAACTATTATTTCATAGAATTATACAAAACTATTTTTTTTATATTACTAAAAATCATGAGGTTACTTTTATTCTATATACTAATAGAAAATTTGTACACAGACCGTTATAATAATTTATTATTTTGTATCAGTTTATTTAAAGACTCATTCTCTTATTTAGAAGGGTCCTAACTAATTGTAATCAGCTCCTCCATATAATTATTAAATTTTATTTGGTTTTATTAATAAAGCACAGCTCTAAGTAGTTTGTGTGCCCTCTATTAGTAATATTAATTTATAGGTATGAAAGAATCTATTGGCCCTCACGCTCCCGAGTTATACAATCTTTTTGTGTTTGGTCTCCACCATTCCGACCCGGATATTCGAGTCAGCTCGATCTACGGTCTCGGGGTGCTGACCCAATACGGCGGCTCGGCAGTTCGAGCTAAATTCTCTGAAGTTTTCTCTCTTCTCCTACCGCTTTTTTCTGATCATCAAGTTTATTCTCATTCATTTATTCACTTATTCTTCTCTTTTTCATACAACTTGAGAAATTTATTGCTTAATACTCTGCAGCTACCGAACATACCCGATAATGTCTGCGCCGCTGTTTCGCGAATGATCTTATCGGATCCCACACTGCTCCCCTTGCGCGAACTTTTAGCTCCTCTCGTGTCTTCGCTGCCGTTGAAAAAAGACTTTGTGGAAAACGAGGTCGTCTATAGCGCACTGCACTCCCTCTGCGCACATGACATTCCGGAGGTTTAGATAAATGCGTTTATTTCTCTTATATTTATTATATGAATACTGGTTATTTACTTATATATTATTTATATATTTCTGTATTATTTTATATATATTATATTAAATGTCTTAAATTTATATTCTCATAAATTTATTATAATTATTTAGTTTTATGAATTCTCTGCAGCGTTAGTGCCTGTTTTTGCTCACATTCTTATGAATATTGAAACTGAAGTTAAAGTTTGTGATAATAAAGAAGCGCTGCTTAATAAAGTAGAAACCTTTACAAACTGAATTTACTTTTTTTCTACTAATTTTTAATATAGATCGCTAATACAGCAAAATCTTTATATAAGCGCTGTCCACAGTATTGGCAGGCTCATCTCCGCTCCTCACCAGAACTCGCGGTTTATTTACAATAAAAAATAGTAATATTGTATACTTTCTGGTAATGGAAACAAACTTTATCATTTATTACTTTATTAGTTCTTAATATTTCTTGTTAATACTTTTTTTTGGGGTTATCATTTAATTTGAAATTTGTTGAAATTTGGTTTTATTTAACTATAAGAAATTATTTAAAATGAAATACATTTACTTAGATTAAGTTTATTTTTCTGCTACGATTACGTGTTATGATTCTGCTTGTTACCTGGGTGTCTATTTATAGCGCAACTTTTTACATTGGAATAATAATTCAAAAAAAAAATTAAGATGTAGGAAAAGAAAGCAATTTTATATCTTCTTTTTAACATTTTTTCTTGTGTTTAAGGACGATTGGAGCTTTGTTAGTAGAAAAGTTAGTAGTAGACGAGGAGTCCCATATATCTTAACCTGTGAATTATATTATACAAAAAAACCTTTACTTTCTTTTTCTGGGAATTCCTTTTATCTAAAATTATATCGTTATCAAAGCGCTTTGGGGCTTAGGGTTGTATGAAATCTATTAATGTTGTAAAAGAATCCCCCGAAAGAAAAGTACATTGTTCATTATAATAATAAAGACCTATATTATGGGAGCGAATTTTTATATGGAAAATGGTAGGTCCCTGTGCCTTAAAGGATCTATAATGGCTATTCTTCAAACTTTCTTGCAGTTGTACCACTTGTAAAAGTTCTATTGTTAATCACAAGCTAAAATTCTTTGTTATTTCTCCTACTCCAGCATGGCCTAACAGTATTTATTGGTATTTTGCTAAATTATCCTGAGTTATTGAGTTGTGCTCTTTGAGGGTAGCCCTCAGAGGGCTACAAAGCTCCCTTTCTCCTGGTAACCAGTGATATACCGTCTATGAAGGAGGTCTTTAAAAGTTAGCAACAGCGATAAATAATAACAATTAACGAGAAAAAATAAGAACCACTTGCCTTACACTCAAACTTTCTATGCTAGCATTTATCACTTAGTTAACGTTGGAAATCTTTGTAGGCTTAAAACTAGGGCTAGTGTAGAATAAAGTAGAGGAAGGGATAGCAAGGAATGGACAATAGAGTACTTGGCTAGTTAAACTTAAGAAAATTATCTATTATTATTGATAAAGATGCTCAACCCTGGTTAAATTAAGTGGAGATTGACAGTTTGGTTATAAAAGCAAGGACTAACGGGTTAAAATAGATGGTTTGTATGCTGCTGTCACTAAGGTTAACGTTTGTCCTGCCTTCCACTTATGTATAACAGTAGATAGAGGTGTTTGCGGTATATCTTTTACGCACGGAAAGGTGGCTAGAATAAAAGACTTCATCAATAAAAGAACACACTGCGGGGCATTCTTGGCACGATTATTTTACGTAAGCAGAGGCCCTCCTCGTGGAGCACCTGAATTTAGCAGACTTTAATAGTTGGTAGCTTTCTGTTTGGGAATATCTTAACATTTATTGATATAAGTACTCTATTAACAAGGGCAAAGCATCAAAGCAAAGCAATTCTGATGAAGACTAGGCAAAGTTCCGGCTGATTTCGAATTAGACGTTTATAGAAGACATTCCACCTTATCTTAAAAATTGATCCCCGGAAGGCGTCAGTTAAACAAGGGTTATTGACCAGTAAAGTGATATTTATTGAGGTAAGCGTTGAAGGTACGAATGCAGAAGCTAACATTAAGTTTTCATATAAAATGCAAAATGGTACACCATAACAATCAGTTGCACGCCATAAGGGCAAATACATGACACCTTATAGTTTAAGTGAAAATTAACTCGAAGCAGAACTGTTTAATTTCAACACTAGGCGACATCCTTTTCTTGCCCTTTACTCTAGTAATCTGACGACACAGATTAATCTTGACTTTACTAAAGAGTGTACATCATTTACGTTACTGAACGAAGACTCCTAAGATTTAAGCTAATAACAGTTAAATGCCTAGGAGACAATTCTCCCACCAGGAGGTCAACCTGCAAAGCTGAGGTCTAATGTAGCCTAACTTAGAATCATAACACGACACTAGCCCAGAGCGCTGTGATCCCAACCCAATGAAAATTGCTCGCACAAGACAAGCATTTAAAATACAAAGATAAAAAACAGTGAAAATGCTGGTACATGCACAAGAAACGAGGTAAGAGTTAACATACAGGTTTCTCAACGCCCTAGTTATTTAAAATAACCCATTTTTATGCTAAAAATAGTATCATCCACATCCAGACTTATCAATCACCCAGGAGAATTAGGGGATTTACCGTTCCTTTCAGATGAGATAAAGATGTAACTACTAAGCTTGCTTTCCCTTTAGCCAAGTTGAATTAGATCTGAAGCACCACCATCTATTAGCAAAGTAAGCACACTACTCAACATGTTACTCTTTAGTAGAAAAATTTTCTAGTCATTTCGAAAATACATCATATTTTCTAGTGTTGTAGTTTAACTAGGTCTCTTTACGATAGTGCTCTAGACTATCGCGGGGTTCTTAAGTTATAAACCAAAATGACACTTTTTAAGAACAGCAAATTTCTTACTATATAAATATTTTTTCTGATCACTTTTCAGGATTGGTCCTTTCATATTAGGTTTTTCAGTCTAAAGCTATTGTCCGGATTTTAACAAAGCAAGGTTATTTACGCCTTTCAACATTCAAGTCAAGTATAACCGCATTCAAGCCCTAAATTCTCCCTTTTTTAATAAAACACAAAATTACAAGGTTTTCTTATTTGTAAACAAAAAAAATGTGTTTTGCTTGAGCTTTGTTATTATAAAAATCGCTAATTATTTTAAGCTTAACATTTTTAATATAAATTGTATATACATAATTTAGGCCATAATAGAGTTATTCCTCGAATGTAGCCGGTCACTCCAATACGCAGCCAAGAGAATGCCACTATTAGATTTCTGTTGCAAAGTTTTAAAACTAAATACTTTTAGTTTCCCTTTAATATAATTACTAATAATCACTATTATTTTCTTCGGACTCGAACAAGTAGTTCAAGCTCAAAGTTTAATACAACCCATCTGTTCAGACTAAATCCAGGCTCTGAAAATATATTACTCCTGTTTAAATTCCATGTCTACAAAAATAAAAAACAATAGAGATTTACATTACAGCATAGACGTCTTTATTCAATGAGTACTGCTAATTACAATAATATAGAAAAATATACTGATATAACAATGTTATAACAAAAAGCCTACTGAAAGAGACCTGAAGTAAACAAGTTATAGCTACACTGACTATAAGCAATATATAGATTAAGTAATTAATTACTTCGCTAAATAAGAGTGCTCTGCTGCAGAGCTCTCTAGCTACTCGATTAATATAACTATAAGAATACACTATACATACTCAAACTGACTGTCCAAAAATTCTTCTTTCAGTGTCAAAGAAGTATTCGCCAAGCCCAACTCCATGCGTCCCTCACCTACACTAGGGGCCACCTCCCCGCTCAACTTTTCCTCTGCACACTCATCGACGAAATGCTGAGCTTCAAGGGCTTCAACGTCATTTAGAGAATGGTAGCCCCCCACTAGGTCCTCCTCTAAATCTAAATACTCGTCCTCAGAAGCGGCCTCATTTCCTTTGTCCTCTTCCTTGTTTCTTATAAAATCTCGGGGTCGGAAGGAAGACTCTAGGCCAATCATGGCTTCTCCCACGCCCTTTTCTTCCCCCTCATTTATTATATTTCGAGTATTATCACAAGGACTACTCTGGCTTTCAAGAGCAGTGGCCCCAGCAAGATGCTCGTCCTCCTCTCCCGCATTACTAGAATGATAGCTACTGAAGAATAATTTGTCTTCGTAAACAATGACGCCTGCCTCTTCATCATAAGGATATTTGCCTTCATAGTTGATCTCCTCCCCATCCTCCCCGAGAATAGGCTCTTCGTAAATCGCGGCCGGCACAACGCCCTTTTCAACGAGTTCACAATTATCCTCCACATTTCCTTCCGTTCCTACTCCGACGTAAGCGCTACTAACTGTCTTGGAAGCATGCAAATTACTGTTATCCTCGCACTGCCCACTAATATTAGCGGCTTCTTCACCCTCTGTAAATTCAGTGGTATATACTGAATTATCGTTAAAAAATCCGTCCGCGTTTTCTTCTTGTTCAAAGGAGTATGTTTCCTTTGAATTTGGTAAGTCTTCTTCTAATAAGGCTTCGTTACTTAAGTCTATTGAAAATAGTAAATCGCCATTGAAGTTAAGTATGAAATGTATAGGCCACCTTGTATTTCCGCATAACTTTGTTCTTGGTCCTCCTCATTATTACTATCCTGATAATTAACACAATAGTTTCAATAAAGAAAGGCGAGAGAAATCTTATTACTTTATAATAGCTGAGAGGATCGTTCCATATGTTCTTCAACTCTTCCTGTAGATAGATATCATCGTCCTCCTGCTCAAACCAGTTAAAAAAGATAGAAGCATCGTGAGGCCTTTTTACTGGATGACCGTCCTCCACGCGACGGTCCATTGGTTCACATTCCTTTGTGTATATATAAAGTAAATCTTAAAATGATATTTCTATGAGTTTTAAAATTAATATATCAGCGCAAACTTTTCTTTTAGTTCCTCTTTAACTCTTAATATAAATACTACAACTTTTTATATATATCGTATATAAACAGGTAAATATATAAAATAAAGAAATAAAAAAAGTTATATATACACAGCTTGACTAGAATGTATATTTGAAAATAATCTAATGATTTTACTTTTTTATTTCCGATACGAATATAAAGAACCAACAAAAAAAATTGCTCAATGACAAATTTTATTATATAAATAAAGTTAGCGTAAATGTTTTAGATTAAAAAGTAATAAAGATAAAAGTAAATAATTTGAAAAAAAAAGAGTTTATTACTTAAAAAATAAAGAAATGAGACAAGAACGAAAAAAAGGAAAAATAAGGAAAAATTGAAAATAAACAATTCTTAAAGCTAAAAGATCACCCCTAAAAATTCTGAACTCTGATATTAATAATTTAAAATTAATGAATTCATAATAGATTATTCAAAAAAGTGAGTAATAATTTCAGAAGTAATTTAAATAGATTATTTGAGTAAATAAAAAGCTTCAATAACAAAAGTCACGCAAAATAAACAATTATAATTCATCGAAAAATATATCAAAGGATATAAAAGATATCTGCATTCATTCTTTTCAAACAACTTTCTTTACTAAATAACGTTTGTAATATTGAAAAAAATTTACAAATAGGTAATTCCTACAAAAATTCCAAATATTAAAAAGTACAAAGCTATTGGTATATTGCAAGTTAATTTTTACTTAAAATCTTATATATACAAAGACTCCTTAGAATAAAATATAAAAAAAAAAAGAAAAGTCAAATAAAATTTCATGAAAAATAACTTTTGAAGAAAAAATATTCACTTAAATATAAAATTGCATAACAAAATTAACTCCATTACTCGCTAGTAAATATCAGTTTACAAAAGTAATAAACACGATAATAAAACTGGCGAGTGTTTTTTACCGCCTATGGAGCTTTTTTCTTACCTTTTTAACAAAATTAAACTAAATTATAAAATTACAAGAAAATAAAGCTTAATAAATATTTATCCCAGAGAATAATAAACAACAAACTAAAAAGAAAAAATTAAATTTAAAGGAAAAAAAGTAAACATGTTCTTGTAATTTTTATAAAATAAAAACCAAATCTCTCTTCCATAAAATCTTTGTGGTGGTAACGGAGCTAACTCCAAAATCGTTATATGTATAAGACTTTTCCAGCGAAGGATTAGCAACAATGGGGTTTTCATTGAATGTCTAAAATTATTGATGCCGAATTTATATTTCGAATAAGTAAAAAAAGCGGGAAAAAGCGTCAAAATTCCACTATAATTTAGATAAAAAGGGGGGAAAGCAGACAACAAAGTAGAAAATTTCGTAAAAAAATTAATGTACATACAAAAACGTATTTATAATTAGCGCCGCATACGCCGATGCCTTCTTCGATAATAAACTGCTTTACAAACTTAAGAAGTGCATAATCCTCCGATGTCAAAATGCTGTTGATATAACCGTCATTGCAAAACTAATAAATATTATAAAAAAGAATAACTAATAATAATATAATTATATAATAACTTAATGGATATGAAAATAAACGACACAAAGAGAAATTATTGCAGAAATTCTAATAAAATTTAATTAATAAACCGACCATAATTTTTTTATCACAATACTCAACTACTAATATAGTACTATTATAGTAGGGTACCCAATATACTACTAAAAATGAAAAGTAAATATTTTTTATTTACCCTCACTCAGAAAAAGTCTAGTAAATAAAGATCGATAATAATAAAATCTTACGTATATATTTATTAAAAAATTAAATAACCCAAAGATAAAAACTACATCCATTTACTTTATGTAAAAATTAAATTTATTATATCGCTATATTCTAAAAAAGGCTCAAGCACAAAAATGAACTCAAAAGTTTTATACTACTATGCAATCTTTAAACTAATTAAATTCTACAATTCATTGAACTGTATATTTCAAGTTTTCAAAATTATAAAATCTCAAAGTTGATTTGATAAAAGTATCCAATTCTTCTTTTCCTTTATATTATTTTATTATTAATACAGTAGCAGCACATTTACTACATTTTTACAAATAATTTAAAAACAGATTCCTCAGTACTATTTATTCAAAAAATATTTTTTCGCGCAGTATGCATATAACAAATTAACTTTATTCAAAAATCATACACATTACCACATTATTAATAAAATTTCCTTAAAGTAAAGCAGTATAAGTTGAGCCTGTAAAACCTCTTAAACGCAAATGCACATCAAGCACAAGTAAAGCTTGACTAACAAACCGTTATATTAATAATTAAAAGTAAATAATAATTTTACTAAAATAATGTTTATAGCTTCCACACATATAAAAAAGCCATCTATAACTAAACGAAAAAGAAATAATTTTAAAAACGGTCAAAAGATAATAGATGATTTCAACTTAAATAAGTGTTTCCTAAGCAATAAAGTTATTCAACTCGCAAACTCCGTAAAAATCATATACTTTCTAACTAAAAAAATATATGTAACAAAAAATATTTTCACCGCTTGCAAAAAACATCAAAAAAGAAAAATTGTAAGTAGGTCGCTACCTATTCTATCTTATAAAGATTTAGCAGTAATTGATTTAATTGAATATATAGAAAAAGTCCAAATTTTAAGTGCAGTTTTTTTTTAATGATATAAGCACTTACAACTTTAAGCCAGAAATCATCAATTTGAGAGATAAAAATAGATCGCTTATCATAAACTTCCTTACAAAGTTTTGAATACTTTCTTTCTATCGATAAAACCTCTTCCTGCCCTGAAATATAATAAAAGTTTTTTTTGAAACTCTTATAAGCTAATAGTTATAACGTATATAATAATGTTAAAAATTAAAAAAAAGGTAAGTAAATAAAGCTGATTATTATGGTTTTAATAAAAACAAAACAAAACAACTGAAAACCATTATCATAGTGCTTACCTACAAAATTAACTATTACCATTTTAATTAAGTAACAGAATATTTGAACGTTAACAAAGCGATAGTGTAAGACTAAAGACGAGAAACTTTTTAAATATAAAATTTATAATTAAAAACTATATAGTATTAATATTAGTGACTTAAAACAGTAAATCGCTAACTTTGCAATAATTACAAAAAGCAATCTGAGCACTAAGCTCTAACAATACTAATTTATCGAAAAAAGGGTATTTATTTTAACCGTTACTGAATAAAAATATCTAATACATAATAAATAATATCTACATACATTATAAAGGCAAATATTTAAATTAAATACAACAAATAATTAAAATTACAGTTTCTGTCTCAACACTCTGCATTAAATTAAAAAAAAATTAAAAAAAACCCAATTTCTGTATATGAACGATTTCAGTTTGTGCCGCAAGAATAGATGATATAGGATCGACGTAGTCTTGTACATTACTGAAATTTTGGCTAGCATATGTCATAAACTTATCACTCTATTATTCAATACACATATGTAAAAATTATTAAATTCAAGTTCATATGAAAATAAGAAAAGGAGTAGAAAAACCTCTTCAGAACAAAGTCGAAGAGCTTTCTCCTTATTATAATAAGACATTATAGCAATATAAAACTTAACTTAAAATAACTATTCCTTAAAAACAAATAAGTAAAAAAAAATAGAAAAAGAAATTTTTTATTAAATTAAATGGTTCAGAAGTAAAAAAAAATAATAGTAATAACAATGGACAGTCAATGAATTATTAAAAGAAGTAGAGAGCGACAACCAATGCCACGGAGTAAAAGAAGACAAAAATATAAAGCACATGGCCCTTAACTAGACATAAATAAATTTTGGGCGTCGCCCTAAAGTGGATGCCTTCCTTTAAAGGGAACTAAAAATTCATTTTAAAAGGCGTTTTTTGACTCGACCAAGTACCAGGCACTGTTATTGTAAATAAATTTTGTAATGCATTAAGCCTCCTTTAATATCCTTCACTTATAGGCTTTTATTTCATTATTAATATAGTAGCAGATAATTTACATTCCTACGATTAGCCTTTTGCATAACCAGGAGTTTTTTGATATTAATTTATTTTTATTAGTTTCTATCCTTAACTTAGTTGTAACATACCTCTACCCAATATTTATATATAAAACTCAAAGAATTTCGAAATAACGTAACAGGTTAATTCTGTAGATCATCGTATCGGAATAAGGAGTTGTCATCGCAAGTTAGCGGTTAAGGCTTTAACTCGCAGGCTTAAGATCGTGGGGTCCCATTCCCGCCGCCGCGGCTCTCTTTTACGATCTTTAATGGTAGGTACTTAAAGTTTCATAAAAAACTACGTGTTACTTCCAGTATTGCATTAAATCAATTTTATTTTCAGTACTTGAAAATTTGCCAAGTAAAATTTGAAACATACTTTATTTATGAACATGTGTAGCAAAAAAATTACTAGTTCCTTGTCCTCCCTCTTCCTTCCCGTCCCCCCAGTATCAATCATTTTACACTTAGTAATCGAATTTCCACTGAAAGTACCTAAATATTCAAACGTTATGAGCGCTTTTTAATTACGGCCTTGCTGAGTATTATCGCAATTATTGTTTTAAATTTTACATCTTATGAAGAATACTTACACGTTCGTTTTACCTGACCTTTCCTTCACTGTCTTGTCTCTGTAAACTTTTAAATTACTTTTAAAAATAATAATTAGTTAATAAGTAGACACGAAATACTATATATTGGGTTCAAAATAGTAACTGATCATTAAATACAAATTATTAATTGGTTTTTTCATGACCTGGGTTAAGCCTAGTTAATACTGTTTGTCACAGAGTCAAGCATGTTCATTTTACGACCAGGAGATCGTAAGGTTTTCTGACGATAATAAGCGCCCGAAGATAATATAGGAGTAAAAATATATGATAAGAAGAAAAAAAACTTAAGTATACTGATTAACAATAAGCAAAAATAGTTAACAGAGCTTAGATCTTAAAACATGAGTGGAACTAACGCACAACTACATCAAAGCTGTGCACAGGTGAAAAAAGAACTCAAATAAGACGGTAGAGTGAAAACATAGCTTAGAAATAGGATGTAGACGCAAAGTAAGTTAAAGAGAAAACGTGCCATAGGCGCTTTATATAAAGAAGGTAACAGAATCAGCTTTCTCATCCTAAGGTTGGAAGAATTAAATGTCTGTTAAAGCGCTAAAACGCAAATCATAAAATTCTCATGGATTGGTCGCATTTGACATAATACCAGCAGTTCGTGACTGAGTTTTAAAAAATTCATAGATGCAGAATTTTTTAGTTTTTATATTGGCATTCTTTTTGTACAGATCCTCTCAGCAAAAATGTGAACTCGTCGCGGATGTTACTTTTATTATAAACAAGAGAGGTTCAATCGCTTCAAAATGAGACCCGTTTGTTATGTGTTTTGGATTGTGTCTTTAGGTGTTTTTCTATACTGTTATTGTGTTATACTCTACCTAAAAACGAAACTGCTAAGCGGGCCCGAGCCCAATTATTCTAGCAAGATCTTAAAGAAAATCTTGAATGAACTTACTAACGGATATGCTACGGACACTGTAACAATCAGGTTTCTGTAATAATAGGACCTTGATTACATAGCATGCTTCCATACCTTACAACTTACCTGCTTTCAGAAAGTTTAATAATCCTATAGGGTGCGCTCGTAATGTAACAAAAAAAAAATTAATTTTACTTGTTATGGAAGTTTGTTTGCCCAAGCTCTTCTATGTTAATATATACCTATGAAGTGTAGACAAAACTTTACAAAATATAATCTCATAGTACTATCATATAATAAAGGGGGAAAGCACGTTTTTAATACGTTAATGAGCATGTATTAAAAGGTTAATCAAAGTATTGTGTTAATATCTAACCAAATATATTATAATCACTTAAACTAAAACGAATAATCACCCCATTGAAGTAAAATGCTAAAAACTCAAGAGCTTATACCATATGCTATATATGTGCCATTATATCACATGGCTGGCCCTTATCAGGTGGTAGCACAAAGTGCTTTCTGTCCCTTGATTAAGTTACATCTTTAACTTAACTGGAAGGTATAAACACATCCATTACTGGAGATTAACACAGGCCTACAAAAATAATTATCTTTTCAGCTGCAAGGATTATACTTGGTAAACTTTTTGGTTTCTAGGATGCTGAATTCGAAAACGACCTCCACGGTTTTTCGCAATGTGATAGGGATTCTCAATTAAAATCATAAAAGCGATGAAAATAAATTACCAATTTTAGATATCAAACTAAACTTATTATTTTCATAATTAAGCAAACAATCCTTTCATGATATATTTAACCTTCCGTGTTCACTCTTTTTGCCTGTGAAACCTATTCTTCTTTTCTTTGATGATTCTTTTAACAAGCTTTCACTTTCCATTTTCCGTTTCCCGCTTAATCATTCAACAGTAGTTAGCTACCATATTCGCATCCCATCTTTTTCTTGGTAGCGTCTTTCGATAACACAAACATTCTGGTGAATCATTCATCCTGCTCTGTGTTATAGGCTCCCAAGTTTCCGGAAAATAGTAAACAAGTGAGTGTAAAAAATGAACTTTTAAGCTCCCCCTACAACTTTGAGATTAGTCAACATTCGATATACATTGGTTTTGTAGAGAGGGCTGTGTTCCCCAAAGATTTGTGTACTACATCTTTAAAGGAGCCTTATGCTTCTTTTGCTTTTTCACCCATTGTTTCTGAAAAGATAAGCTCGGTTATCAGTTTTCGTATAACGGGGCTAGTTAAAACACCCCCCTTCAACTTGGTTTCAGAGAGTTTAGGAACTTTGAACATGAATATCTGAAACATTTTACATCTTTTAGCGGTGTTTTACAAACCGCATTAATGAGCCCTTAGTTTATATAAAGAGCTGGAAATAAAATCTTTTCAGGTGGAACTAAGGTCACCGAGTATTAAGGCATCTTGTAGTGGTCAGTCAGTTTTTGTCCAATAAAGGCCTCTAGCTAGACTGTCCCACAGACATAAGAAGCAGGATGTTTTGTAAAACCTGTCTGGGGGAAGTGCACTAGCGAAAAGAGCTTCAACCCGCCCGATCTGAGAAGTAAATCTTCAGGACCTTGGTCTGTCTGCAGTGGGTAACCCGGAGGCTAATCACTGACTGCACTCCCTCCTAGAAATCGGAACATTCGTGAATACCTCCTGGAGATTTACGGGCGTCTACTTGTGCCTGAATCAAGATTAAGCGATCTGCGCTCGACTTAACGAGCATCCGCTAAAACCATTAATGAAAAAAAAACCTGCCTACTGACCCACCAACATGATAAATATTTTAAAGTTCCCATTAACCATCCGTTGATGTTTTTGATAGCAAACTTTTTCGAAATTCATAGCCAAATGGTCATAGTTTTCTTCCAATTGTACCGAGTGTTCCAGAGGGTATGATGCGTTTGAATTTCCGTCATGCAGCAAAACTATTTGATATGGTTTTTAAAAATTTATAAGGTTGCACACTTCATTTTGAAGAGAAATTTCACTCAATATTAAACTAAAACTATGAGTTTTACAAAAAAAAATTAGCATTACAAAATTTTTTTACTATTTTTTCAATTTTAGTGAATAAAACTTATAAGCAGGAAAATTCCTATCCAGTTTTTGGGTGCGGACCTGTGTGATCTATCGTTTTTCTGAAATTCTTCGTCAATACTCATTTGAAGGGTTAAAGTTACAAGCTATAACTCTATAACTAAAACTTTAAGGCATTATTAACAAAACGAACATTAAAGTAAAAAATCCCATTACTGACTCTATCTAGCACTAAGAAAAACTAAAAACTATTCTGGTACTAAAGACGAAATTCCAAACAGCTCTTTGATAATTAATAAAAATATTATATATATGAATTGGTAAGACTGAGTCGTGATAACTCTTAAGAATGTGGGAGAGGTAGTCCTTACTCTCATCACATGAGTACCCCCACGACGCACCCACTTTATTATAATTTTGACTTTCACTTTAAAAGGTTAGCAACATTTGACTTAGACTATGTATCGTAACAAAAAATAAATATTGTTACCAGAGTAAACAATTCTTTTTTTAGTCCTAATGTAAAATCCCTTAGAAGACGTAACTTAAAAAAAAAAATTCGAATAACGATAGATAAAAACATAATACTAAAGCGGACATCTCCAAGTCTCTTGCCAAACTGTGTTCTTATCTTTGTAAACTACCTCACTAGTGGCAAGTCTAGAAACTATATGTGCTAACCCAGTGGAGGAAACGAAATCGAGCCCTATAATATCTCTCACCCCCTTATATTATAATATGACTTAAATGGTATAAACTGGGTAAATAGCAGCTTCATGCTATTTGCAAGAGGCCTCTGAACAAAAGTACGAATGATTAATATAAAAAAAGGTATTATTTATTTTTTTAACTTCCTTTCATTTCTTTAAAAGGTGATGGAAGCAAGTCCAGGAACTCGTTTCGAAGTGCTCTAATGTAACTTGCATAGATGCCACAACACCCTCCGAGATATGTGCAGCCTTATAAAGTAAGCGGCTTGATGGAGTTATTTGCGGCAACAGGACTTTAAAAAAGCACCTGCTTTGTAATATTTGATGCACCATTCCACAAAGACCATTTCTGTAACCTCCTCACGCAGTGGTTGCGCGTCAGGAGTTGATTCCATTGTCCTGCAAGAAGGGATATACAGCATCCCCCTAAAAACGTGGACACGTTTTTGCAACACATACCAGTTCTCAGGGACGGCAGTAAGCCTGTTTGGATAAGCCCCCAGGACAACCCCATGTCGCTTTAATGCCGCCCTTAAAATAATAAGAAGCATGCAGTTTCCATGCGGGCCAAACACCAAACACCCAACGCTAGTAATGAACACCTGGTCTCTTCAGTGATACTGAGAAGGGCTTCATATACGTCCTCCAGAAGTCCGCAGTTGAACATGATGGCTTCAATTCTGCCGCCTTAACAGCAATAGTCACAACATATCATATCAGAGAAGGGGGCTTGCTTGCTCACCAGCCAGTGACAATAGTTTAGAAATTGCGCCGTTTACGTCCTCTCCCGAGCGCAGCTTCCCCTACCAGAAATTTAGAAAACCCGGAAAGCATCTCAAAAAAACCAGTAGCTAAACATGAGCAACTAAAATAACATTCCGTCCGACAGACCAGCTGGCAAGAAGAGGAAGCTCAACGGCTTCTGGTTGGGCGAGAACTGCAGAAACAGCAGCAAGCATTTCAGAGGTAGAGCTCAATGTCTCGCAGATAATTCCGTCCACGTAAGGCAGTAGCGCTTTTAAGATAACTAAACTCCGTATTTAATAATATATAAAAAGAAAACTGCAACAAAGAACTATACTTGCCTTCGTATTGCACGTGGCACTGTTCGGGGGGAAGAACCAGATCCGGCCGATAGCAGCCGTTAAGTGGCGGCAAAGAACCTGCATGGAAAAAAAGTCTCAAAATAAAATATACATAAAAATGCGAAGCAGTTACCCAAAATCCGAACAGAATCTTTAAACTTTGTTTCATTTCTTGCTTCTACCGCCAGCTGTCCTGTTTAGCGGAAAATAAGTTTATCATAAATATAACTTAACACGTAAGAAGAGAAGGTAAGAAGACTACTTGCGTACTTACCTGCTATACTTGTTAATTCTGCGACAACCTTGTCTCCACCTTCTTTGAAAGTTGCCCTTAGAAACAAGAAAATAAAAGAGTAAATAAACGGCTCAGAACTTATAGTAAGTTTTCGTAAAAGCTCTTGGTAATAGTAGCAGACAAACTTTTTTTGTTCTCTAGCACAATTACTATTCACTATTTTTTTTCTTTCTAACTATATATAATATTGTTGACTTTTTAGTCACCTTATCAAAAAAAAAATTTGGCATCTACAACGGCGTAAAATAAAATAATCTGTGTAACTTTTATTTTAATAATTTTTAAAAAAAGGTAACCAGGCCGATTCACACAATAAAGTACAAAAAAATAAATAAATTACTTGTCATACTCTTACAACTGTTGTTTTTGTCAAACACGTAAAATAACAAGAAGTAAATAAAAAACCTTACAACGGCAAAATTATTAGTAGTGATCATGCAAGATCCAGAAAGAATCATATCCTTATGAATTTGTTTTACCAAAGAGTGGTGGACCGGGTTCAACAACGCTTGTGAGGACCTGCCAAAAACACAAACTTGAAGGCCATTAAAGTTAATATTGTAGTTCAGGGTGCAATTGGACTAGTAAACTTTACTTAAAAGTAGACTTTATCCCCTCAAAAAAAATTAAATAAAATAAAACTGCTATTAAACCAAGCAAACCTTTTAAATAATAAAGTTGTAGTATCATTTAAAAATATATATAACAATACTTTAAGTTATCTATAATTTTACAAAAAGACATAAAGCCTCAATAAAATAAAGATGAGCTTTTTTCAATAAATTATAAGGAATTTTTTTAATACGAAACTAAAAACTATTAAAAAGCTTGTAGCAATATAATTTTAACCAGGTTTTACGATCGTCCGGTAATCCCCTTAAAAAAAGTTCTTCCCCTAAATAAAAGTCAGAAGTTATAAGTAGTAACTTGTATTGTAAGTTAATTTAAAACCAAGAAGAAAAGTTTTTCTCACCCATTCCTCCATCCATTAGCAAAACTTTAGCTTTTTTAGCTTCTTCACTTAATAAAACTATGGGGGCTCTCCGTAGCATAACTGGTTAATTTCAAAAAATCTAATAGCGGAGTAAACAAGCTTACAGCATTACATGAGATATATACAACCAACGTCGTCGCAAGTCCTCAAAGAAGTCGTAAAGTAAATTCGTAGTCATAATTTGTAAAAACGGGTTTCACACAAAACTCAATCGAGTCAACAGACTTCAACCAAACGAGCTTACAGATTTCAATTCGTAAAAAAAAAAAGACCATCATTTGTTCTTTTAACCCCCCTTCACAACCTAAAGCATCATTTTATTAAAAATGCTGGTAAAAGAAATGTTATTTTTGGTGAAAATTATGTATTTCGAGTTTTCTTAATAATAGAGGTGAGTACGATACGATACTATTTTAAAACCGGCTAAAGTTGTTATTAGAACAAATACTAGAAATTATTACACTATAAGCTTTTTTTACTAAAGTTCCAGAGACTGTGCTTCTCTAAAGGTTGCAAAACTTTATTGAAGATGAAAAACTTTATCACAGCTTATCAGCTGGGTACCATTTAAAAAAATTTAAATTAGTAAAAAGGACCCTAATCCTAATTTTAACCCTAAAACAAAAAATTGTCTTGATTTTTACAGAAATATAGAAAGCTTTTGATTAAGTCTGGTATAGATGTTAAAATGCCACTGCAAGTGTTTAGGTGCCTCAACTTTGATAAGAATTATAGTAATTTTTAGCATAGTTTTATGGTGGCCAGTGTAGTTACAATACATTAAATTCTAAACTAGTTAATGCGAGGTTCTTCAAGGTTCTTTATTGTTACTTAATCTATTTTTCATATATTTGTCTAACGTACTACCTCTTACCTCTTTATATTGTTATTAACAGTACCTCAAATGTTCCCTATCTTAACTCATTTAAGGATTGGCCTCTATGAGAATTTATGACAGAAAAACCGAGTTAAACTTTAAAACTTTAGGAAACTCAACCATGCTTGCCTGAATAGCGGTCTCGTGCTCTATATATAGAGTATTTTTTCGGATAGTTTCGAGAAACCTGAGCCAATCATCTGAAATTTTTTGGCCAATGGGATTGTCCGAATTTTAATTAAAAGTGGATTTTCGTTTACTTTTTTGTTAAAACACAAGGCTTGTGTGCTTGATTAAACTAAAATAAAGTTAAGTGGATAAGTCGATTATAGGTAGAAGCACTAAAATATAACAAACTTAAGATATTATATGGAAATGCTACCAAATCATTAATTAAATGTTTGTTAGCTTGTAAACTGAGGTAGCCTTTAAATTTTCAAGAACCCATTTGCTCATTTAAATAAAAGAAAAAAAAATTACAATACTATCTCAACTTTAGACCCCCTAGTGACGTCATATTATAAAAAACAAATTAATATGAAAAGTTCACATAACTACCTAATTAAAAAAATAAAAATGCTTTGTTGATGGTATGATCCAGTTAGAAATGCGCGATTAAATAAGAAAGCGTTTTAATTAATTTTAACTGGTAGATTCAGTCTATCAATATTATTTTTAAAATTGTATATATGCGCACAGGCGAAAAGCACTTCAACCCGCCTGATCTGAGAAGTCAAATCTTTAGGACCTTAATTAGTCTGCGGTTGGTCATCGGGAGGTTGACCACGTACTGCACTTCCTCTCTAGAAACTCGGAACATTCGTGAGGCCCCTCCTGGAGATGTACGAGGGCCCTCTCGCGCCCGAATCAAGACTTAGAGGTCGGCCATCGACTTACTGTGCATTCGCAAAAATCATTAATGAAAAACAGACGAGTTTTGTTCTTTGTTTGTGGCGTCTTCTCAGTATGTGGAGCTGTAAAGAAGTTTAGCTTTATTGTCTAGAAGATAAGTTTAACATATATTTTTGTTCTATAGCGTTGAACAGAGAGTAGTCAGTAAATGTCTATGGATAGTTTATTAGTAACTTAACGTCTAGAGGGCGTGCGCACTATTAAAGATTCTAAAAACTCAAAGAAAGTTCTAAACATTCGCCACATGCTTTTTACCTGCAAATATGCAAAAATAGTGCACTTTACCTTGATAACAAATTAATTATCTGCAAAGCTATTTAAATGGAATTAGACATTAGTAGCTTGGGGATCTTTTAAATAAAGGAGGAGCTTAGACTGTAACTAATTAAAACGACTTGACAAGATTGTTTACTTATTAAGATAAAAGGCATCTCTAAATACATCGTGAAGGCAAACTTGATTCACTTTCAAGTATATCAAACGCTTAGCGGGAAAGAATCAGAAGGTTATAAAATGTGTTACTTGCTATTTCCCTAATTTTAGCCCCTCGTACTCATCTTAAGATAGATAACCGAAACAAAACTTTACTGAATGTATAATTACCCTATCTCTATGGAATATTAACTGACCACTCCTATTTTTTTTCTAAGACAATTATGCAAAAGGAAAGTATACAGAAGTATTCTGTATTTAACAAACATACGACAGTAAAGCCATTTACGACGCGAGTTTTTATAAAAAAGGTAGCAACTGCTATTGTGAAAAAAGTAAGTCCTTATATAGGTTACAAGCTTCAAAATAATGTAATGCTCAAAAGCCTTCATATTAGGGATATAAAGTTAATTGGAACCTTTTTAGGCAGAGTAATAAACAATAGAGAAGCACACCAACACTGTAATTTAACAATATAAATAATGTGATATGCACTCAAACAACATTTACAAGTGGTGCCTCTGTAGCCCCTAATAAAAGTTATAAAACAACAAATTTTTTCTATAACTAATCTTTATCATTTGAATGGAAACTTTACCTTAATAGAGCAACAATTGTGACTCTAGATATAGTGGGTTAGTAAAATGTTTTCGATTTAAGGATAAATTCAATTAGATTGCCCAAACCGAACACATCATTCCCAAGATCTCCGCGTTCCACGATGTTCGGCACTAATTTTATCTTGGGAGTTAACTGTGGGTTAAAAAATTAGGTTAGGCTTTACAGAGTTCTTCAGCATCTATTCAACAAGCTATCTGTAAATACTCCTCATCGGACGTATGGTACTCTACTTGCACCATTTGGACTGAAAAAAAAAAATCTTTTCTGATAGGGTAAAAATCAGCCACTGAGCAGTCATCTGGAGTGGTTGTGGTCGTGAACTCTCCCTTCTTACTAGCTTGCGCGGAACCCTATTATATATGAAGCAAAGCTACGTCCCGCCAATAAAAGGAAGTTAAGGGCTAATAATAATCTACTACCAGTCTATTATGTTTTAAATAGACCGCTTTACTTCTCTGTCTTGCCACAAGAGAGAATTTTAATAGAAGACTAAGGTCTTCAGCTAGAACTTACATCCTTTTGTGAACAGAGGAAAGTGATATTTGGGTATGGGAGGTATATTACTATAGCGTTACGAGACCAAGTCTCCTTACGTTGCGCACATTAGTTCTAAATTTATTCACAAAAAATATTTAGCATAACGGATAGGGCAGTGGTGTGATGCGCCAGCAAAATAATGAACCTTATAAAGATAAGTGATAACAGGCTTATAGTTGAGTCGGACCACAGGGCTTTGTTATGATTATTTAAAATTTGGTTACTTTAATTTACGGTTCCTGCCAGGAACTGACAATGCAATAACCTATTTACTTTCTAAACTGGTAAAGATAGACGAACAGACTGAAGTGATAAAAACACAGTAGCTGCGGTGCTAAGTAAACGACGAGACACTTATATTGTAAAAGAAAATAATGCATTTGTAATTATTTCATGTCCAGAAAAAGCAACTTTCACAGATATTCAAAAATTATAAAGTATATGGAGCTAAATTAGGCGTAGTGCATGGCTGTAGAGCGTGTTAAAAGCTTGCAAAAAAGTCCAACTGAAAAAAGAGCTCATTCGTGTTATAAATAAACCAAGATTACCATTTTACAGCTTAGCTATGGCTATAGTAAGGTTGTCCAAGACAAAGTTGGGCAATGATAGTAAATTAGTTATTGAGGATAGATACCCGCGTCACCTAGGGGCTAAAAAGTTGAAAAAGGTTATTACTTACGGGACGCTATATTAACTGGAGAATATTTGTAGGAGAGTATACCAGAAGATATTATAACAAACAGGGACTCTGTGTTTATGAGTCATATGCTGAAAAGCTTTTTTTTTTTTTTTTTACTAAACATAGACTTGGACACCATGTAGTTAAGGTTAGTTGGCACTAAATTAGGGGAATCGCTGTAAGGTCCATTCTGATTTTTAAAAAGTATTGGCTAAAGGGTGTTTAGGGGGTGGCATAAAATTTGTGTATGTTTACTATTACAGTGGACTGCCCGATCTTTTAGGTGTCAATGCTGTTTATGCTCCTTAGAACCCCTGTTAATTATTTTGATTTAGTGAAAAATAACCAGCAAAAGCGTATTGTAGTTATTAGAAAAATTGACGAAATTAAGCTATTTAAATTAAACATAGGTTATAGAAGGCTATAAGTCAATTGAAGGCGTAAGACAAATCTCAGTATCTTGTAAATTAAAAAGAAAGAAGCTCATGACAAATATGTGAGGAAGAAGTCGAATAGGACTTGGTGATATTATATATCTCGAGAATAATTATAAAATTTTCGGTGAAACTTGGCTTGGACCAGCCGTAGTCGTACCCAAGTACGAATTGCTATGAGTTACATAAAGAATTCTTAGTTGACCTAAAATTAAGATGAAAAGATATTAGACACTGCTTATAATTCAGGTTATGCCATTTAGGTACATCAGGAAATGAAATTTATGTGAGCAAAACATATTTTAAGTCAAGCAAGTGTATAGTTGAGAAAGAAACAATGCTTCAAGTTTTCAATGAGAAGGGTGTTTATATGGAAAGGATTCCCTCATGATAAACGGAGGGATACGTTGGAACAAATCGCTAGGATTAGACTACCAAATGTTTTTAAGGGATATAATTCATCACCTTGAAAGTACCGGGGTTATTACACAGGTGCCCCCATCTTAAGAAGAATTCATACCATTCTTAGTTAGTAGTATTCTTCAAATGATACGTGTTTAAATTTGAGGAATTTTCGACTATTTGCTATCGATATATTGAAATTTTAAAGACTTAACCAATGTAACTTTCCAAATAATGGAAAAATGAAATTCGTGAGTTGATTAAGCATTGTTTTTTGATAGGAAAAAATACCGTTTTAGCTCAGCAATGACTTAAAA